CTTATTAAAAGTACTTTAAAAATTACAATTGACAATATAAAAAAAGAATCTTCACCTCAACCAATCAAAATGAACTTTCACTATGCTACTACCGGCACAGATAAATAAAGCCGGAAACCTGTATACACATCACCTGTAGTTTCAAACGAAAATATACAACAACAATACCTAGCAAGCTGTAGAAGTCAAGAACAAGAATCGGATGAGGTAGTGTATTTATTAGTTAAACTCTTTTCCATTGGATTGCCTTTTGTGAGTTTACCCAAGCTATTTGTTTTGATATAGTGAAAAGGTATATCTTAAGAAACAATGCTGCAAAGGCAATTTCATTCAAGCTATAGCATTGCTTTATAGATTATTAAGGATGGTCATGTGGTTTGCATGATCCTGCAAAAGGGTGCACAATCTAATTGTGTCTCTTTTTTTGGATTGCTTTTTGTGAGTTCACCTAAGCTATTTGCTCTGATACAGTAAAGGGTTGTATCTTAAAGAACAATGCTGCGAAGATAATTCCAGGCAAATCATGATTCAGAGAACTGGAAGTGCATTGTGGCCACAGAATTATCTGTGAATGTTCTTCTTTGATCAGCTGTTGCTTTTTAGTATGTTTGGCAAGAATAGCTTTTATGATCCCGCAAAAGGAGGCACAATTTAATGAAGATTCTTATTATAAAGTCTATTGATTTCAGAGAAGAAAATTAGTTATGCACCTTCCTTATTAATGAGAATTTTATATTTCCTGTATTAATGAAAGCACTACTTAATAAACATTGATTGATTATTTTTTCATTTAATTCTCTAGAATCAAAAAAGAAGGAAGTCATCAGCTACTAGTAAGTATAGCAAATCCTATGAGTGCTGCCAAGAGGCTTGTGAAGCTGAATCTGAATTATAGACCCAACCTTAAAATCGATAATTAAAGGATCAGTTTTTTTTTTTTTTTTTTTTTTTGGTATTGGCATATTAAACTCACCATATTATGATATTTTTTCAGTTGTGTCATTACACTGTAATGATTTATTCAATTGTGTCATTATACTGTAATAGTTCAGTTATGTTATTATACTGTAATAGTTTAGTTGTGTTATTATACTGTAATGGTTTAGTTGCATTTATAACAAACTTTGCTTATAATATAATTAGTGAAGTTTATAATATTCTTTTTTCTGCTGTTATTTTTTTTTAAACCTATATTTACTTTTATGAATTTCAAGTATCTTTATCAATCATTAAAAGAGAAAAGAAAAGACCGAATAAAAGTATTAAATACAGTTATAACTTAAGCAACATAGTCACACCCATTAATAACAAAAGACAAAAAAAAAGCCAAAAAATCATACTACTATAAAGATCAATCTTAATTCTCATCTTATATTGAAAGATTACTGCAAATTAATCACCAATTTATAGTCACATCATGTTGAAAAAGTTTTATAGCATGCTCAACATTTAATTGTCATGTTAAAATGATCTGTAGTAAACTGCAAAATGTTTTTAAAAGCAGGCTAAGATGGCATATGTAAATTTAATAATAAATTTACACCACAAATTAAAATCAAATATATTTTTGCTACCTTTAAGCAGCATCCAAACAATTAACTTAAGGCAATAGATACAACACTTTGGGCACTTTAAGAAAAGGGTACAATTCATTCTCATGAGATCTTATCTGACATTTTTTTATAGTAGCTATTTCATAATAAAAAAATAATAATAATTATTGTAACATTAATGAGTTAATAGCAATTACTGTAATCTTAGTCATTGTTCTATACAAACATATACTATGCTATGGCATCAGTAGTAGTTTATCTAAAAACTATGTAAAAATTGAATTATAGTCAAAGATTTTTTTTTCTGTGTTTATACTTCATGATTTGAAATTCTTTTCAACATGGGAACTTCAGCATCTGATTTTTGGAAACACAGGCCAAGGCTCATCTAGGTCTGACTTTGCAATAGTTATGAATAACCAGGATGGTCTGCAATTTGCATTTTTATTAGTAGAATTCAAAAATAATGGTTATGAAGTATATAAAGATAATATTGTTGTGGTTACAAAGGCAGCTCATGTATTTAACAAAATTTTGAGTTACAATTCAACAGAAAAAAAGGTAAACAAATTGTGTCTTTACACTGGACTGGTTAATAGGACAACTATCCACCTAAATACATTAAGGCTAGTGTATAACCAACAAAGCTTAATGTTTATATACATCTATGATAAAGCATTATCATTGAATATTCTAAGTATTGATGTTGAAGAAAATATTTGAAATGCATTATATCTAGTAACATATTTACATGAAACAGTTTGTGCAAGTAGCATATTAATCAGATTATTATTAAACAGTCAACTAGTAATATTCAATTATGATCTAAAGGCAGCATTGCTGAAACTATCTTGTGAGGCCATCAAACCATGAGAATCCAAAACAAAGTTCACCCCATTAGACAAAAGAGAATTATATATTATATCTGATGTATCTAAATCTGGTAAATCTGAATATAGTGAATCTGATTCATTTTATTGATATATTTTGTTTTTAAGAAATGTGTTGATGGATATTAATGGTTGAATACATAGTTGTATTGATTAATGTAGTAATTTTTATAATTACATAAGAATTTTCTTTATATAGTTTTTGATTACACATAATAAATTAAGCAAGCAATTGCTGATACTAAATTCTATAATATATCAAATTTTCAAGCTAAAAAAGTTGTTCGAATTTATTTATACTTCTAATCAATAATATGATAAAAAAATCCATCACCTCATCTTTCGAATGACTCAAAGCCATAATAATATTGTGAGGCTCTTAGATGGCAAGCAAAGACTTAGAGACATAGATCAATCCGGTAAATGAAGGCTTAGAAATACTGACTGATACTGTATATATCATTTTAATTCATTGCTTACTTTCAGAAATTTACTATAGAGTTTGGAACCGATTATCGTAATCGAATTTATCAGTTTTATTATATCCAGTTGATTAGTCAAGGTGATACTATAGTTATATTTTTGATGTATCAATAGTTATCTAATCAATAATGTAATTTTGTAACTTGGTGTCTGCCCACACACATGCATTAGTTGCGTTTTTGATTCACTTTTTAATTTGCATTTTACGTAGTGTAATAAAAACATTAAGTTCCAGTAGCCTATGTATTTAATAAAATTGCTCAACTATTAATTTTGCTATAGTATAGTTAGCTAGTATTATAGTAATATTATAGTTAGCTAGTATTATAGTAATATTATAGTTAGCTAGTATTATAGTAATATTATGCCTAATGCCGGCCTATTCCGACCCTAAATTTTTGCAATTTGATTGCGCGACTAATCTATTCGGGCAGTCACACCTCCGGGCACAAACACTAACGCAAAACATTCATTTTTGATACACCTGCACCTACTTTTTTGATACTGATCGACATGCAGATCCCGGTAAAAAA